TGAACCGAGGGGAATAAAGCAGCTGGAAGACTACAGTGGGCAGCTGGGAGCTGCCGGGAGCAGGAAGAACCCTCTGTCAGGTCGCGCGTTGGTCTTTCAAGGGCATAGGGGACTTAAAGACGCCCCCAATGGGGGTGGTTCCTTTCAAAAGACACTGAAGCCCCGAGGCAGAAAGCGGCCCCCAAGATCGCCCAGGCAGGGCAGGGGTAGATTTGCACCCAAGAACAGGGACGGCGTCCCTCTGGGCTGCATGGGTCAGGAGGTGCCGGGAAAGTGTGCGCATGCTCGGCCCGAGTACTGTCCTGGGAGCTGCTGGCTCACTTTCGGTCCCGACTCCAGGGCCCTTTCCCCCGCCCAGACCAGCGCCCTGAGCTTGCCCGAGACCATCGGCCTCTCCCCGCCTACCCCGCCCACAGGGGAGGCTCTCTGCCAGCCCCCGGCATTCCCAGTTCTCATCGCGCATGGGGCAGCCCCCGGCTGGGAGCTCAGGTGGTATCCTCCCGGGAACGTCCCCCTGCCCTGCCCAAGACCCTGTGGAGACCCAGCCCCTCTAGAACTGGCCTGATGATTCTTGCCAGAGCCGCTCCAAAATGCCCTGCTCGGGGCTGGGAATTTAAAGGGGCTGGGAATTTAAAGGGGCTGGGAATTTAGCTCAGCGGCAAAAGCGCCTGCCTGGCAAGCGCAAGGTCGTGAGTTCGGTTCCCGGTACCGGAGGGAAAAAAAAAAAAAAAAAAAATGCCCTGCTGCACCACAGCTACTCCTTCCTGTGGACTAATTTCCAATTCTTCAGGGCTCCCTCGGGTGTCACCTCTTCCAGGAAGCCCTCCCTCAGTACCGATCCTTTCCTCACCCCCCTCTGCTGGCTCCACCGGCACCCAAGGCTCCCATGCCCTGTCTGGTGCTAACACTGAGCGAGCTTTCAGGGGCAGCATCTGTGGGGTCTCAGGCCCCGCCCCACAGCAACCCCACAGGGTGGCAGCGCTAGTGCTGCGCCCATTTCCCAGAGCAGATGAAGGCTCCAAGAAGGGCGGCCGGCCTCAGGGTCTCACAGCCTGGAACTGGCGAAGTTGGGGTTCAAACTGAATTTTGCTGCAGGAATTTCAACCTGTTTCAACCAGGAATTTCAACTGACTCTGGAACTCTTAAAAACACCCTGACAAGCTGGCCCTAGCTGCCTAGAGCCCTGTTCATTTTGGTTGTTTTGATTTGTTGTAACTGGGACTCACTACGTAGTTCAGGGTAGCCTCAAACTTGCAGCAGTCCTCCTGCCTCAGCCTCCTGAGAGCTGGGGTTAAAGACCCCGAAGATAGCATATCCCAGATCCAAAGGAGAGCTAGGTGATCAATCAATAAGAACAGGGATTTTCTTTGCAGCATTGCCCTATGCATAGAGCAGTATTACTTTTAAAAACCACTGATTCAGCTGGTCCTGGTGGTGCATACCTGTACTCCAAGAACTCTGTGAGGCTGAGGCAGGAGGATCATGAATTCAAGCCCAACCTACACAACTTAGTGACATAGAGAGACCCTATCTTAAAATAAAAAATTAAAATGGCTGGGAATGTAGCTCAAACCAAGGCCTTGCGTTCAACCCCAGGAACCCCCTAAAAAAATACTGGTAGAGCTGGTGGCTGCACCACAGTGTGAATATACCTGCAAACTATCTACTTAAAAATGGCCAAGGTGGTAAATTTTAAGTGGTGTTTATCTCACCACAATTAAAACTACAAATAAACACTCCATCATATGAACGCCTAAGGCCACAGTCTCCAGGAAAGATTGACTCAGCCATGCCAGCTGTCCCTTCTACCCCAGGCCACATGTCCCTTCTGCCTTACCAGTCACAGTCATCTTTTGGGTGTGAATTGATTTTTAATATCGAAATGGTGCTTTACACAGAAGCAGCTACATTTGTGGGTAGAAAGAAAGAGAAAGCCAAGTGACACGCCATCGCTGGATCCATGTCAGAATCAGCTTTTTAAACAATAGCAGAATTTCTGTGCACATTCGCCATCCCTGAAAGCCAAGGACGCAGAACACAAACATTTCTTCTTGACTCTCGAGAAGGTCTGTGGGGTCCAGGGTTGGGAACCCCCCCACACCCGCCGCCGCCCTCAGCACATCCCCCGGGACACCAGCACTGCCGTGCAGCGGCTCCTGCATGTATGAGGTCTAAGGAAAGCCTGGGCCCCTGGTCAGGGTGCAGCCACTGCTGAGCAAGCCTGATGTCACTGCACTTGAGGACAGAGGGACTGAACCTCAGCAGGCGCAGGCAGGGGAGAGCGCCAGACAACCTGCCTACCAGGGCTCAGCTTCTTCCAGCATTAAGTCAAGGAAGGACACACACGCACACGCGCACACATGGACACACACACACACAGAATCTCACAATCACAGTCACTGTCAACATGGTCCTAGGCCAGTCCTTCTGCCTTCCCCGAAGGACTACACACTTTCCCCTACACACTTTCCCACTACACACTTTCCCACTACACACTTTCCCACTACACTTTCCCCTACACACTTTCCCACTACACCCTCTGCCCAACACACTTTCCCCCCCTCTGGGACCAGGATGGCCTCTTGGACACTTGCGTCTCCTCCTGCAGCCACACAAGACAACTGCCCCTCCCTTGGACTGGTACCCCAAGGCCACGCTCCCCGGATCTTCCCCAGGACTCTATGTCACATTTTCCACTGTCACCTTCGTCCTCTGTGCTTTCCCACCAGCACAGAGTTACCTCTCCCTGGGCCAGGGGATGTGGAACCCGCTTCTCTCCAGACAGGCTGGAGTGTCCCAACCTCCTGTGGTTTCCAAACTTTCTCTGCACTCGGGTGTATGACATGTGGCCGTATCTCATTACCAGCTCCAGAGTTCCAGCTGGGCTGAAACAACCGAGCGGCCAGCTTGAGGCTTCACCCCCACCTCTGCCCCTCAGGCCACATCCACACAGCTCCCCAAGGCGCCACGTCCGAGTTCCCAGCCAGTGTGGGATCCCCAGTTGGCCCCCATGCCTACCAACTTGTGCAAGCACCATGATGACAGGCCCAGAGCAGCGCTGGGCACACCGGGGTCCTCAGCAACCACAAATCCTACTACTTGAATACAGAGTTCTGGAGTGGGAGTGTTAACGGGAGCGCGTGAGTGACATACAGCCGGGTGGCCACTAGAGGGCGGCAGGCAGGTGCTGCCCAGGCGCAGGCTCTTCCCTGCTTGCTCTGCTCTCCTCTCCTCTGTAGCTCAGGCACCCGGATCACCCTTCACATCCCACTGCCAGCTCCACACCGTTAGCTCCGAGCCCGGGGCCGTGGCAGAGAGGCTGTCATAGCAGCCCTGAGCCAAACTGCTATCCAGGAGGCCTCCCAGCCAGCCTCTGAAACTGCTCCTGAGCAGTGCAGTCCTCCACGCCCAGATCTGTGCTCTCCCATAGACCCTACTGAGAAGCTGAGCCAGCAAAGCAAGCCCCTCTTCCCATCCCACCCAGGCATCCCCTGCCCACCCCACATGGCTCCTCCTCTCCACTACTCACAAAACTCCCTCCGGCAGTAAAGAGACCCAAACTTGCTGCTCCTCCATGCAGGTAAACTGCGTTAAAAAGGTTTGCAGTATATAGCCAGGCGTGGTGGCGCACACCTGTAATCCCAGCACTCAGGAGGCTGAGGCAGGAGGATCGTTTCGAGAGATGATGATTTTGGTTAAAAAAAAAAAAAAAGAAAGAAAGAAAGAAAGTGGTCCCACATCTACATACTTCTGGTGTGAGTGTCCGGCTTCTCCCACCTCTTGAGACCAGCCTGGCCTACAAAGTGAGCTCAAGGCAAGCCTGAACTGCACAGCGAGACCCTGGCTCAAAAAGACCAGAAAAAAAAAAGAAATACATGCGATAGAAGAGTTAGCGATTAGAAGAAGCCCTGTTAAATTACACTAAGATATAAAGGGCTGATGGATGTATAACCCTGAATATTCCTATCTGTTCTGGGGTTACCAAAACTGACATATCCAAAACAGGGGCTCTGGGCCCTGGCCTGATGGGTGATGCCTCCACACATGTCATATTCTCTGCAGACACCACACAGGCATATTAAGGTTTATCAATTACATGTGGACTGTGAGATTATTGTTTAAAAATACTAAGGTAAATGCAGGGAAGTTAAAGGATATGTCCATTGGTCAAAGTGTTGTAAGGCCGATTCTAGGTCTGACCCCACCTCAGCAGGTACCAGCCCTTCATCAGGCCTGGGCCACCCCCCAGCCCTGGCGCCTCCTTTAAAGACCTGTGGTCATTATTGACATCTGACTGCTCAGACCAAGACCAGCCACCAAGTCAGACCTCACTAGCTAGGCCACTCCCTGTTAGTCAGATTCCAAATCCTCCCAGCCATGCTGCCATCCAAGCTGTTAACAGTAACGGTAACGAGGACTGTCACACCTGTTGTTAGTCAGAAAGAAATCCACAAGCCATTAGTTTCTGCTGAAAGGAACAGACCAGGAAGGCAGGAGTGAGTTAGTCAAGGGGAAGGAGAGGTGGATTAAGAGCCGGCCAAAGCCAGGCGGGGAGCCCGAAGCCCCCGGATGGGTGGGGCTGGCTGTTAGTGGACAGCCCCTGGGGCAGCCAGGGCGAGGCAGGGGTTAGCTGGGTGACAGCAAGAGTTAGTGCGAGGGAGCCAGAGATTAGCCCAGAGAGGCCAAGGTGCCTACTGAGGGTGAGGCATGAAATCACCCCCAGGTGTGGCCCTGGCTTAGCGGCTGGCGGGCTCTGGGGGAGGCTGGCCGGGCCGGGGCGAGGGCACGGACGGGATAGAGAGTGAGGGGTGACTTCCTGGCCAGCCTGTGGGCCCCTGGGATTCATATCCTGCTCCCCACTTCCTCCCCCTGCCAGCTCCCCAGCTCTCTTACAGATGCTTTCCTCGCTGCCTTTGCAACACAGCTACAGACGCCCCCTAGCTTCTGGGTGTGAGAAGTTCTTTCTAAAGGATTTTGGTTAAAAAAAAAAAAAAAAAAAGGTAAGTGGTCCCACATCTACATACTTCCGGTGTGAGTGTCTGGCTTCTCCCACCTTTTGACACAGAAAGGCCCTTTTAGCCAGCTTCCTACACGGGAAAGGGCCCTCTCACTGATGACTGGGCGTCCCTTCCCTGTGCCTAGTGATAAGGAAAAGCCCCTGTCACTGATTTCCAGAGTCAAAAGGCCTCCTGTCCACCCACCCCTTTTCTCAGTTTCAAGTATAGAGAATGCCTCTGTAGCTGACTTCCTGTGTATTAAAATCTCCCCTCAGTGATTTTTCATTAGGGAAGACTCCTTTATTAACTTCCCACTGGGAAAGTCTCCTGACTGACTTCCGGTGTCGGGCAGGGTCCTCCCACCAAGTTCCCTTTTGGGAACATGCCTTCTTTGACTTCCTTTCCAGGATGGCTACTGTGTCTACGCCTTTCCAATATTAAGAACAATAACCTCACCTCCTACCAGGGAAGGAAGCACAGGCCCCTTTTCTCCATTTCTCTGGCTGGGGAAAGCCCAGAACTTCACACTATAGACCCACAGGCCTCCACACTTACACCCCAGAGGATGCCCTGGCCCTGCCCACTCCCAGTGGCAACCAGCCTTGTGCACAGAGGAGAGAGGTCATGCTCAGAGTCCAGCCTCCCGCATCCGCAGGGCGACCTCCGCCTCCTCTGGGTGCTGTGCATAAGGCCGTCCCCTGCCTTAGACCTGGCCCAATGGTCTCTGATCTCACAAGCAGTCAATCTAGGACATGGGCCTGCAGGACCAGCCCGGGGACATCTGCTTGCCAAAAGGAGAGGGACCAGCCCCCAGGGGGGACCCAGAGCTCGGCAGGGCTGGGGTTAGTAAGAAGAGAAAACAGGGTTAGTAGGGCTGGGTTAGTAAGTCAGCACAGCACCAGCGACGGGGGCGCCTCGGCAGACACACACGGGAGTCGCTAGGAGAGAAGAACGCACGCAGGTCCATTAGTTTGTTAAGGGGTGGTGGGGGGCAGGTGAGGCGCCCCCAGGTTAGACAAGTTAGTAATCGGACAAGAGAGCTGCCTACGGGAAAGAAAGCTGATGAGGAGAATGTGAGGGACAGACGGTTAGAGGTTCAAAGCAAGGGTCTGGCTCCAGGGAGAAGGGTCTGTGTGCAGAGTACCCAGGGAGACCAGGCAGGGGAGCGGCTGTTGCCGACTGGGTTTCTGGGCCTCCTAACCCCACCCCGACCCCTTCTCTTATTTTAAGTGTCTGCCAAGACCTTCACAAGGATGAGAATTCTCACTGCAGCCAGTGAGGTAAGAATCGGTACTCCCCGTCCTTACCTAGGAAACTGGGGCACGGAGAAGTGACTTGCTCAGACTCCACCCACCCCACTGCTAGTGGCAGAGTTGCTAAGTAATGCACACGCCCCATCTGCACTGAGCATCTGCACATAGACCCCGGCCCAGGCCGGGCCCTCCGGAGCCTCGTCTGCCCCCACGGCCCAGCCCCGTCAAAGGCCGAAGAGCTGCAGTTAGTAGGGTCTCGCTGCAGGGGGGTTAGTAGGGCATGCTCGGGCCTGGTTAGTGGGTTAGTTGGTTGGCAGAAGGCCAGGCACCTCGTCACACGCCACAGCGTCCTGGCCGAGCCCTGGGTTAGTAGGTTAATCACACCATGCAACACGGCCCGGCCCCTCCAGCTGTGGCTCCAAAGACCTCCTGTCCACCCACCCCAAGTGTGGGGCCTGACCAGGGCAGGGGGGTCCACCTCTGCGGCCCTCAGTCCCACCAGAATTGAACCCGGCCACGTGGACCCTGCATGTTACAGCTGTTTCTTGGCCATGGGTCTCAGAGCTCCCCACCCCCACAAACGCTTCTGTTACCCTGGAAAGGGATGCTGCTTGTCCTGGGCAGAAACCCCCTGCCTGCTTCTGGTCAGGCCCATCCCAGAGGGCTAGGTCCTTTCACTCAGGCAGACGCAGACACACACACACACACACACACACACACACACACACACAAAGACGTGATCCCAGAGCCCCTCCATGCCCGGCAGGCATGACGCCCATCACAACTAACCTGCCCTCCCCTCCTTCCCACAAAACTGCATTGAGCTGGCCTGGCCTGGGGACCAGGTTCAGACGCCCCACCCTCTCCTGGTCTGTTTCCTTTCCAGCCAACGTCACACAGCACCTGGGTGCACCCCAGTTACACCATCTCCTATCCCCAGTGCACGTTCCCTGCATGAAACCCGGCCTTGCCTCTCCCACAGTTCTAAATGGTGCTCTGTGAGAAAGAGATTCTGTGAAGAAAAAAAGAAGTCAAGAAATACATCACCCTCTCTTCCCACCCTGAGTATTCGAAAGCCACATGAGCATTTCAAAGGCTCTGATAAGTCTTGTGCGGCCTGCTCTTACTTCAGGAATCTTGCTCTAATTTCTCCCTGGAAGCTCTGGGCTCTGCCATGTCTTTCTCGCCCTCCAAGGCCCTTGTTGGTCCAACCTTGCTAGAAAGCCTCTCCCACCTACTTCCCCCAAGTGGCGGCACCTGAGTGAGCCCACAGTGCTTGATTCTGGCGCAGAGACCCGACCTCTTCCCCGAGCTCATTAGAAAGGGCTGTTAGGACAACAGGCGGGGAAGGCCTAGCTAGTCAGTTGGAAACACCTCTGGCTCAGAAGTTCCAAAAAGACCAGCCCCAAATCTAAACTCCCAGATGGGTGGGAGTGATTACTGAGCACCTACTAAGCACCCAGGACTGTGCTGGGCACATTATCTCTGTAGATGCTCCCCGCACCTGCTCAGCAGGACTGCAGCCAGCCTCCCTTTTAGCGGGAGTCCAGGCTCAGGGTGGTGAGAGGAGTTGCCCACAGTTGTACAGCAGAGGGCGCACCAGAGACCTATCTGGCTGCAAAGTGCAGGTTCTTTCAGACCCGGCTCTCGCACCGGGTGAAGCCGGTTCTGCATGCCCCAGGGGCACCTCGACCCACCCTGGCCCCACACCTGCCACTCCCTGCTCTGCTTTCCATTCACTCACTCCTTTCTCTATAGGTGGGGATTCTGGGGAGACATGGAGCTAGCTTCCCATGTTTGCGGTGACTGCCCTGTCACCGACCGAACGGCATTCCCCCAGAATGCACAGGCTGGATCTCTAGCCAGATCTCTGGAAGGTGCACAGGACCTTCCAGTGACTAAATTTAAATGAGGTCATGAGTGTGGGTCCTTGCTACCCTAGGACTGGTGTCTTTGCAAAGAGAGACACCAAAGCACCACTAAGAGAAGGCCACGTGAGGACACAGTGGAAGGTGCCATTGGCGGGGGGCTTCGCCAAAAGCCAAGCCTGGCACCTGGGTCTTGGACTGTCTGTTCTCCAGAACCATGAGAAATGGACCTTGGGCTCTGAGGCCCTGTAGTCTGTCTTCAGTATTTTGTTACAGCAGCCTGAGCTGATGAATACCCACCACCACCCCCTCCCCAGGAAAAGGACTCCCAGCTTTGAAGATGGTCTGAGGAAAGCCACAAGCTAATCTTTTGTAAGCAGTGAGACTGTCTGCTCTGCAGGGACTGTCATCGGGGGGACGTGGGACAGTGGGTGTGTGGGGAAACTGCATATGGGAAGGATGTGTGTGGGGCCTGTCTTGCAGGCCTCCACTCCCAAAGGCAGAATCCAGGACCACACACCAGGACCAGGGGGCTGACTGCTAGGCACCTGTCCCGAGCTTGTGCTCAAGTGGCCCATCCAGTCTTTGGGCAAGGGGATTCTCTGTGGGTGGCAGGAGTGAGACCAGGGCTGTCGGTCTGTTTCTGGTGAGCCCCCCCAACCCCGGCATCCTCATCTCTACACCTTTGCTTTTCAAGACAGCATCCCCTGCCCCTCCAGTCGCCTCCCATGTCTGGACACCACCGGGGGAAGGCCCTAGCTCCCCCCAGGTCCTGACCGCCTCCCTCTGGAGCCATCAGGGAGAGAGACATGGAAAAGCCTCACCCAGGAAGCCCCCACCAAAATGATAAAAGATAGAAGGCTCCGATGGGCTTCCCCCAGAAGCCGAGCCTACCCCCCACCGGCAGCACCTCCCCAACTTTGTCTTTGTTGAGATCGGGCCCTGGGGACGGTGTGCCCAGGAAAGTGCCTGCCCGGGCAGAGCTGTAACCAGAGGAGGAATCCAATCTGCATGGGGTCTCAGGGCTCAGCAGGGAGAGCCGCGTGGAGAGCTGTGGCCCCTCCACACGCCCGGAGCATGCGCCAGCCCAGGATCCGGTCCTTGGCTGACCGTCTGCCAAGAGCGGCTCTTCTCAGAAGACTTCCCACGGGCACTGGAAGGGCGAGGTCTTCAGAGATGGGACCACCGAGGGCTGCTCCCGGGTTCCTGCAGCCAAAGTCCATTCACCCAGTGCCCCAGAGCGGAGCAAGCCAGAGTCCTGGGGATGTGCGGGGGCAACGTGGCCTGGGGAGGCACAGCACGGGATGGTGAGGCCAAGATCTCTGTCCCAGCTCCCCACATCCCCTATCCAGGCCCTGTCTGGGGTGCACATGCAGCAGAGACCCCCAGCGTGTCTCTTGTGCTCCAGCACCCCAATGGAGCAGAAGCCAGGGCTTTGGACAGTAAGATATTTTAGAAGAAACTTAGGAATAAGGAGGATGTGATGAAAGCTGTGAATGTCCCACCAGGCAGGGGTAGCTCAGGGCACCCAAAATGAGCACCAGGGTCAAGGATGGAGACAGGGCAAGGGTTTCAAGGTGACCTGATTTCTCTTTCCAACACTCACTGAATCTAGACACACATCCCCAACGTGCACACACTTCCCACGACGGAGAGCTCACCTCCTCGCCCAGCTGTGAGGAAGTGTGCTCCTACATGAAGATGCAAGAGAAGGGGACCGCATGTCTGGTGTTCAGCGCTGGATCCCAGTGTCCGCTGTAAGGAAGATGCCTGGTCTGTGTCTATGGGGTGGAGGACCCTGCTAAAACCCTGGCCGAAAGCCCACCACCTGTGGTCTGGGTTCATTCCCATCCACACCATGACCACACAGAGCAGCCTTCTGGCCACTTGGGTCCTGGACCTTCTTGTGAGCAGAAGGATCTGGCCAGGCCCAGGCCAGGGGAGGGCACAGGAGGAAAAGACAACCTCCTCCCTGAAGGGAGGCTCAGCACACGTCCCCCACTCCTCGGCCAGCCCAAGCTTACCCGCAGCATCCAGCCAACATGGTGATACCCAGGCCTGGTTCCTTCTGTGCAGAGACCCCACACAGGGCCATCCTGGAAGACAGAAGAGCCACCCAGGCCGCAGGAGAGAACCACACCCACCCCTGCCCCAGCAACCTCCCTGTTCCCCAGCAGCAGACTGTGAGCCCAGAAGAAGCAGGCCAAGCTAGGCAGCTTGGGAACTGCCCAGTGAGAGCACTGGGCAGAGAGGCAGGAATGTGCAGTTCTGTCCCAGCTCTGCATTTGCCGTGCTGCGGCCCTAGGAAGCCTGTGTCTGTGCCTGTCTCTGGGCCCTGGGACCCTTGCAGTGCACAATAGTGACTGTCACTTGACTGAGGCACTAGGTGGAAGACAGGAGGGAACTTTGTGCCCCGCCTTACCCTCCCCACCCCTCTCCTGGCACCCCATGCACTCGAGGAGACTGGGGGACTCCAAAGGAGGGTGGGTTAGGGGTCTTTGGAGACCAGCCCACACACCAGTCTGGAGAAGGCCAGAGGCTGCCTATGGATCCTAACCCAGGTTTGCTTTGGGTCAGCTGTGCTATCTTCATCAGCCTGCAGACGGAAGCCAGGCAGTTAGGGACCCTCTGAACATACCGTCAGGGCTTGCTGTCAGCACCTGGCCAAAGCTAGAGACAGACACACTTGGAGCCTCTACTTGAGAGGAATGTGTCTCACAGGCAACAGTGCTGAGGTCCCCACTTGACTGCAAGGGCAAAGAGCCCTGGCCAAGGGCAGACGGATGGGCCACAGGCGGGTAAATTTGAATACTTATCTGCAAGGCTGCTTTCTTTCCTGCATGGCCAAGACTGCCTTGAAGAACCCGGAAATTTCCTCCTCTCTTCTCTGTCCCAGGAGCTTGGTGTGACTCTGCAAACAGACCCTAGGCTGCTCAGGAGGGAATTTTTTGATCACTTCCCCTAGGCTGATGTGGCCAGATCCTAGGTATTGTTAAGGCAATGCAGTGTTAAAAAACTTTAGCTTCTGGGTTAAGTTAATGCTATTTAAAGAGTGGAAACTAAGATATGGACTTAAGAGTCAGCCAAATCCTGTTAGGACTATGGCTCCCCAGTCCCACATATTGAATGTGTGGCTCAAAGCTTATTCGGAAAGCTTAGCCAGTATCCAGCACATAGTAGGTTTCTCTCTCTCTCTTTCCTTTTTTCTTTTTCACCAATGATTTAAACCGTGAGTACATCTTTTTGTCATATCTATGGTCCCGAAATATGGAAAATATTTATCCTGGGGCATCCTCTCCTTTAGTATACATACCCCAGCTAGGAAGCACAGAGCCAACTAAAATCCCCCTTGGGATCAGCAAAATGTGCCATATCCATGCCATGAAATCTACTCAACAATAACAAGAAGCAAATTATTATACATACTATGACATGGACAAACCTCTAAAACATGATAAGTAAAAGAAGATAGGTACAAAAGAACTCATTGGTGTGACTGCATTTATACAAAATGCCCACAGATGAAAAAATCTACAGAGGTGGGAAGAAGACGGGTGGTAGCCTGGGGCTAGGGTGGAAGGGAGATTAGCAGTTAGTGGTAAGAGGGATCTGACCGGGGCACCCAAATATTCTGCAGATGGTTTCTGCAGATGGTTTATGCCGATGGTTGCACTACCTGGTAAACTTACCCAAAACCACTTAACTGTACCCTTGAAATGGGTGTATAAACTATCCTAATGCAGCTGAAACCACTTCCCCCAAAAAAAGATTGAATGACTGGTGCACACACACAAGGATGAACCTCAAAAGCATTATGGTGTGCATAAGAGGTCACACACAGGAGATTCTACATATGGAACTTTAGAAGAATAAAACTATCCATAGTCACAAAAAGCAGATGCGTGGTTTCTTGAAGCTGGCCCTGGCCGTGGAGTGACAAGGAAACACTTTAGTGTGACAGAAGCAGTCTCCATCTTGCTTGTGAAGATGGCCACACAGGTATATAGGTTCATCAAAAAGCACTGGAATGTATACTCCAAACAGGTGCATATTCTTGTATGGAAACGATACCTCCATGAGGTTTTTTATTCACAGCCTGTTTATACATGATAAAATGGACCAGAACTGAGAAGTGCCAGATCAAAGGGACTGCCATGGTCCCAGCAGTCAGCTCTCACTAGGCCCACATCTCAGCTCTCACTAGGCCACACAGATCCCCCGCCACTTCCAGCCAAGGTCAGGGAAGATGTGCTTGAGGGACTGGAACCACAGGGTCCCCGAGGATCTCTCCTACCTCTGACATCCAGGAGGGTTCAGAGTGTTGGACTTCGCAGTGGACCTGGTCGCATAGCATGAAGCTGGTCTCGGTACCCCCGGCATACACAGAAGAGATGGAGCAACACCTTGTGTCCCGCTCAGGTGCCACTTCAGCCAAATAAACTTGTCTGGAAACACACGGCTAAGCAGGGACCTCGCTCCAGCTGTCATGGAGAGAGACAGACACAGGAGAGAGGGAATAAATACATAACAATGGGCAGGCTGGAGAATGACAGCAGGAGCTTGTCTCAAATCACAGCACCTGCCAAAGCTGACCTCCTCGGATGCAGGTCACAAGCAAAACAGGAAGTGAGAGGGATTCTGGTCAGTCCAGTGTCAAACCCAGACATCCTGATGAATGGGAAAGAACCTGAGCTTTATGGCATGGATTCCACCAGACATCTGTATGACCAGATGAGGATCTTGAGAAAGATCCACTGCCACTCTGAGCTTCAGTCTTCTTATTCACAAGATGGGGATAATGACAGCACACACCTCACATGGTGACTATGTAGATTAAATAAGATGCTAAGTATAACCTACTGGCTTGAATTCTATTCCTGTTATTGCTGTTTCTGCGACTGTCCACACTGCCCATTAACACTGTACGTGGGATGCAGTATTGTCCTTTCCCTTAAACAGCGCACAGTACTCCTGGTAGCAAGAACAGCAACCAGAAAAGCATTCAGAGGCTGCCTTTTAGGATCACGCTAGGTTGATGTCTCTTTCCCTGACTCTGGGACACAAGGACTGCTCAGCTATCTGAGCCACACAGGAGCCATTGGCCTACATAGCATCAGATGCTTTGGGGCTCACAGATCTGGGGAGCTCAGGGGAGCAGTGAGCTTCACAGGAAACCTGCTGAGAAACCAGGGAGGCTTCTACAGAGGAAGGTAAAGTGCTACTTCTTTACAAATTCAAACGCTGCATTTCCAAAAGAGGAAGTTTGAAATTCAATTCTCCTCCAAGTAAGAGAGCCCCTGAAGAGAGGAAAGAAGAGCAAAAGGATGAAGCTGAAGCTGAGCTAACATTTACTGAGAAAAGACACTAACTGGGGACACTTTTACCAACGTGACATCAATGACTTCAATTTTATTGGACCCATTTTACAGAGGAAGAAACTGAGGCTCAGAGAAAAGTGCCTTGCTCTAGAGCCACCTAGCTAGAAAACAGTGCAATCAAGATTAATAGTCCTGGGCTGGGGATTTAGCTCAGTGGCAAAAGCGCCTGCCTGGCAAGCGCAAGGTTGTGAGTTCGGTTCCCGGTACCGGAGAAAAAGCAAACAAACAAAAGATTAATAGTCCTGTCCAACCCCAAAGGGCATGAAGACTTAGTTCAAATATGGGAGTGGGCATTAAATGAGAAAAGACTTGAAGAAGGTATATACACCTCGCAAACTAGGAGGGAACTGGCCCCAGACTGCTAAGCCAGCCCTTGTCAGTTTATTCTGGTTGTTTTCATGGTCTTGAGGCAATTGATTAAGCTTCCTTGTAAGAAAGAGGTAATACAAACTAGGAGATACAAACATGTGTTAGAGTCAGACTAGATCCAGGTTCAAATCCTGACTCTACGGCTAATTGCTGTGTGACCCTGAGCCTGTCACTTCACCCCTCTGAGCCTCAGCTGCTCATCGGTGGTGCCCACCTGCCAGCCTTACCCTGGGGTGTCCATGAGGTAGCACCCAGCAATAGCCTTGGTAGACAGGGACTCGGCAGTGGCTGGGGTGGTTCCCACTCACCGCCTACTCCACACCCTGGATCACAACAGCCCAGCCCTCCCTCCCTTCCCAGACACTTCCAGTCTGCCTTCCACAGGGGCCCACCTGGCACCGTGAGGGACAGGGGACACCTGCCTCCTCCCATCCCATCAGCACGGACAGGGATGGAGAGACAGATGTCACCCTCGCCCGGGCTGCGTCTCTGCCTCTGGGAATCCTTAGCTATTGTTCTGCAGAGCGCCAGTGACAGATGAACTGGGCCTCAGAGACAGGGGAGGGGTCCCCAGGACAAAGCCAGAGCCTCTAAGTTATTCACCAGCCCATTGAGCCTGCACAATGGGCCCAATGCCCCAGAAACACACTGCGCAAACACTCCAGGATCACCAGAGGCTGCGCCCACAGCAGAGGGAAACAGCAGCTAGCAGGGCAGCAAGACTCAGGTGCCTGGAAGGGAACCTGGCTGGCACACAGCAGGTGCACAGGGCAACAACTGTCTCTCTCAGCATCCACGGGGGTCAGGTAACTTACACACACTGGTGCTCGGCCTCAGCCAGCCCCGTTAACTGGGGTTGCGATTCCCATGGAGCAGGTGGGGAGACTGAGGCTCGGGGAACGGAAGTGTCTTTCTGAAACTGGCACAAGCAGGGAGAAGGGCTCACACACAGCCCTGTGATCCTTACTCCCTTCTCCCTTCACCAAGCTTCGGCCCCTGATGAATACATTCCTTTCCCAGGAGGGAGTGTGGCTCAAGTCAGAAAAAAGGAACTTGAAATGAAAATGTAGGAGAAAAAAGGAAGCATCTGGCAGATGCAGCCACAAGAAACTGACTACGCCACCATGTTCATCTCCTCCACGAAGCACAAAGATCTCCTACAGGGGTTTCTGCAAAGGTCAGAACAACACAGAGATACATCTGACACAATTTTTTAAAACAGGACACCTACAGAATAATTTCAATGATCACTTCACTCATGAAGATGTACCAGAGGGGGGCACACAGAAGTGCAGTTTTCATCTCTTATTTTTGCCTTTTCCAAATCTTCCACAGTTATAATGCATTTTAATGCATCTATTAACTGTGTAGAAAAAAACTCACCAAAAAATTATAAAACTCTTTTCCTCCCCACCCCACCCCGGTACTGCAGATTGAACTTAGGGTTTTGGCATTGAACTACATCACGTAGTTGCCCAGACTGGACTCAAACTTGTGATCCTCCTGCCTCAGCCTCCCAGAGTGATGGGATTACAGACATCCACCCATGCCCAACTCCTGACGTAACTTTTTAAAGCAGGCTATACATAGTATAACTTCAATTATCATTTTCAGTAATAAAAATATATCAGAGGAAACACATAAAACACATTATTTTAGGCTTTCCCCAATCTTCTACAATTATCATGCTTTGTACTAAAAGTGTTTTTAAAAAAAATCACCAAAAATTATATAACTCTCATTTTCTAACGCGGGTATAAAGAGTGACTCTCCTGAAGCTGGTGGGAAAGTCTTCTGGCTCCTCTTTAGGACTCTGAGGACTTCAGCTGCCTTCTGCCAAGGGGAGGAGAGAGGGTCTAATGTTACAAGAGGAAAGATGGAGGGTAAAACTCAAGAGTCGGTCTCATGGCAAAAGTCATGAATTGATGAAAGAGGCAGGCCTGGGGGGCACAAAACGTTTCCACAAGAAATTAACCGCATTCGGAATGGAATGAGTTCAATGTCACCCAGAACTAGGGGTTAGCAAAGAGCTCCAAGGAAAGGGTCTGCCCCGCCTGCCGCTCTGCCCTGAGCTGGGGCGGGGCGGGGCGAGGGGGGAGGGCTGTGGCCTCAGCGGAGTCTGACCACCTGCCCGAGGGGGGTTGGGGAGAGGAGTAACCCTCCTGAGCCCGGCCCCACCCCAAATCTGCTGACGCATCCGCGCGGCCACGTGGCCCAGACATCTGCGTACGGAAGCCCCGCCCCGAGTCTGCGAACAGCGGCGCTCCGGTTTCCCTGTCTGTCAAGTGGAATTACTCATCCCTACCCTGCGTCTCCCCGCTCCCCAGGCGACCGCGACGCGCCCAGGCGCTCCCAAACCAGAATGCGCTTTGGAACGCCAGGCGCGGCGCCCAGAGCCGGTCTACCTCAGCCCCGGGCTGCGCTCCGGACGGATGCTGGCACGGAGAAAAACAAAGCCGCGGCCCGCGCGGCCCCTCCCTCCCCGCAGCAGGTGGGGGCGTCCTCCGCGCCGCCGCCCCGCACTGGGGTGTGAGCGCCAGCAGCCCCGGGCACCTCGCAGCCTCCGGTCTGCAGCCTGGGACCGGGTGGGGGTGGGGGCCAGGGACCCTGGGCGTCACCTGCACGTTCCAGCGTAGGGCCCTCCTCAGAAGGAGAGTCGAGGTGTGGTGCTTTCCCTCTCAAATCCCCAACCTCTCCAGCGAGTGTACTAGAGCTGGGGAGAGGCGGGGGTGGGGCATGCAAGCTGGTGGGCCCTGGGGTCTTTCCAGGATCTTTTGGATTTGCAACTCGAGCTTCAGTGTCGGTCACTTCTGGACTCAAAATCACCAGCTGTGTGACCTTGGCTGGGTCGCTAATCCTCTCGGATCTCCGTTCCTCATCGTTAAAACGGGGCTTTTACCACCTCGCGGGACTGTGCGGGTAAAAGCGCGCAGAGCACTGAGCCGGTCTCTGGCCTAGAGAAACCGCTCCCTGGACAGATAAACCACCTTCAGCGTAAACAGTGTTCTCACTAGGGACGGTCTCCGGACTCCCGCGGTCCTTTGGGAACCACGCTGGGCGCGGAACATCTGGGGTTCGAGTCCCAGAAGTGAAGGACCGACTGCGGGGCGGGGGTCTGCGTAGGGGGTAGAGGAGCACCAGGACCCCGCCCTACCCTCCAGTTCCAGGTCCATGTGAGATCGGTCCTTGCCTTGGCCAGGTAGCTGCTAACCTGGTGGGCCGAGAAAGGTGTGGGGCTCCCCACCCCCATGTCTATCTGGTAGTCGGGGAAGGGGGACGGGCCTTTGTTCCCCCTCAGGTCAGGACTGCAAGACCTCCACCCGCCCTGGACTCCCAGCCACCCGGCCCTGGCTCTTCCCCACCCACATTCCCAACCCGGGCCCGGGCATTTTGCAGCTTTTGACAATTGCGGGCTGGGCACTGCGGGGCGGTTCAGGCAGCGTTCGCCTTCCCGGAGCCCTGCCCTGGGACACTGGGACCTTCCGTCGTCGCCAGCCTCCGAGAAATAGGCTGCTCCCGCGCGGGGACAAGGATGCTTGGAGATCAGGGCTGCTAGGACGGGTCGTGGCTTACCTCGGGTCCACGGCCCAGCGGCTGAAGTGCAGAGGGCTCTTTGTGCCCCGGCTCACAGCGCAGAACTGGGGGAGCCCCTGCAAGCGCCTCCCCTCGCAAACTCCTCCCCGCACTCGTCCGCAGCCTCCCTCCCTCTGGTCCCCGGAGTGCAGCCGGCGTCGTCTTTGTAGCTGCTGCAGCGCCCATGAAATTTTAATGCGGGAGCGGCTGGCAGGCGGGCGGAGGCACCCCACCCCCGGCCCTCGCCTCTGCCCTCCTTCCGCCTCCCTGAACCCCTGCAACCCCACACTGTACTCCCTTACACCCGCCCCAGGGTCAGGACCCGCGAGGCGAGGCGAAGGCGGGAATGGGGGGAGCGCACCGGCGCCTCCAAGGCACAAAGGGGAGAGCTGGGCTGTGCGCTCAGCCTCCAGCATCCCCGCCCGCGGCGCTGCCATGGCAACGCTTGCAGACCGGACTGGCCGCGAAGAGCTCGGGCTGGAGAGGCGTGTGCAGGTGGGATGGACCTCTGGGCGGAAGCCTGAACCTCAGCGTAGGAGAACAGACTCGTCCTGGAATACCAGGTTCTTAACCCACAAGGCTTCGGATGTAGCTAGCTGGTCAAGGAACCCTGCCAGATGCTCACATAGGTAGGTGGAGTCAAGATTCTAACCCAGATCTCTGATGTACTTGCCTCTACACACACCACTAGTCCTAAGAACATGTTTGGTCATTTATTTTAGCAGCCCTCTCCTTATTACCTGCATTTCACTGTGCTAGAACATGCCATTGGCCTCTAGAACCTGACTGCCCTGGGTTCAAGTTTAGCTCTGACCATGCTGGTGACCAGATGTGGCATTAGGCGGCCTACCCACCCTTCCTGAGACTGTTTTCTGTCCCACTGAGTAGATGATAATGGAATCCACATCACAGGCTTGTGTGGGTTCAATGAGGGAGAGTACTTTGCACAGAACCCAGCACTTAGTAAAGGCTCGGCACATATTTTTATTAACAGATGGGTCACCTTTCATTTTCATACTTTTGTGTCTGCTTTTGTCATCTTTATTGATCAGATAAAGAGATGACAAAAGTGATGGCAGTTGTTCACGCTCACTATCAGGGACCAGGTAGGATATGAACCCTTCCCTGCAGGTTCCAACTTTACTAGCCATGGTCTATCCCAGTGGTGGCACACCTATGGCACACGTGCTGCAGCCAGCTGTTTGTTATCACTGAAAGCTCTAAAAGGTTTGCCATCACTGGTCTATACTATGTCCCACCCCCAGTCTGAACACCCAAACACAGTTCCACATATCTACAGCACATTTCTAATGTGTCCAGTCCAAGACCAGTGCAGGAGGCCCGAGGGTCCCAGGGACTACCACCTCTCTGGCATAGCAAACAGTCCTGCCAGGAAAGGAAGAACCTATGTGGAACAGCTAGAGCAGAAGCAGAGCAGCGTGTGGTCACAGATCACCCAGAGTACACAGCCTAGTGGTGCTCTTCCCCAGGTGTGTAGCTTCCCTCCCCACCAGTCACATCTGCCCAGGTGACATGTGCATGACACATCCTTAGGGAACCCGGAGGATGTGGAGGAATCACTACTTTCTCTTCTAAGTAGTCCCAAGCCACCTACTTCATAATCTGCCCAATCCTCTTGTGTAGCAGTCCATCATTTCCAATATCCATTTGGAAAAAAAAAAAAATCAAACCACTTATCTGCCGCCAGATTTACAACACTTCCCCTATTCTCTGGGGCTTCTTGAACACAAGCAATAAGGAGTCCATGATCTCATTTCCAAGCATCTGTGGTTCCAGAGCTACCTTTGCAAGGCAGGCAGAGGTGGCCAACGGGGAGGGATGACTGGGCACCCCCTGTGATCAGACCACGTCTAACTCAGAGGGACTTAGAATGAGCCATAAACTGAGCGAGGTAAGGAGGATACAGACCTATCCATGTCCAAAAGACCCCCAGATCCAGCTGGGGCTGGCCTGGGTGACCTCTGCCCCCAATTCTCTGGGACATTTTTTCATCATGGGGCAGATCAAAATATTCCTCCTGGGGTGAGAGGTGAGTTGATCTCCCTTTGTCCATCTCTTGAGGATTTTCAACATGAGCAAAACCTTCCCTATATTCTCCATCCACTCAGGAAGATTTACTGCCTCTGTGCTTGGGGCAGGGTCAAAACCTCCTTTGGAAGTCAGATCTAGTGTAGTAGCTATAGCTAGCTCCCCAACTACTTAAGTCTGACCCTGACTTTTATCTTATAAATAGACCCAGGACATAGAAAAGCTCATCCCAAGACCATAAATGTCATTCTTGCCCCAACTGACCAAGAGCCCCAGTCTTGCAGGAGATTTTAGGGGTGGTTGTAACTTGAGCTGTAAGAGTCTGGTAGCAGATAAAGAGGTGCCCTGAAGAGATTTGTTTATGTTCTCTTTTTTGCCTTTCTTGAAAATGACCTAAGCCACTTATTATGGAGTGCTGGTTGCCATGGCAATGGAAAGAGACACCATCAGACCTTTCAAAAGGGGTACTTCAAAATCAAGTTTATGCCTTTAATCTGGACCTGTCCCCTCCCTTATTCGCATGAGGCACCATGGCTTCAAGGATCTGTAGATTAGATGGTCTTTGTCCTTAATGTACTGCTCAGCAGCCAGAGCCTTCCAGGTTGGATTCTGACCCTGGCCATATGTCCAGGAAAGGGGAACCTGGGTCTTTTCCTCTCTTTCTAGAGAGCTGTCCAGGGGAATGTGCCTTTAACAATTCCTTGCTGCTACAAAATTTTCCCACCTTCATAATCTCTCTTAGATGCTATGAATTTGACCTTCTGACACTGTCCTCAGTGCTTTACTGACCAGCACCTCTAAGACAGTGTAGGCTTCATCTCTGACAAAGGAGCAAGGTAAGTCTCAGAGGGGGAAGCTGCCTTTCCAAGGTCAGCCAGCTAGAAAGCGATGAAGGTGCTCTAGGAACCCAGTCCAAAAATTGGCTCCAAAATCTGCACTCGGAACCTCTGAAAACCCCTTTGCACTCATGCCTGAGCCATCCTTCCCCTGGGAAGGAATGAGCCTCCCCAGCCCGTCATTCTGGACACTGAGCCATTCCGGGATCATTCAGGGGTCACCCACTGCCCTGCCCTCCACATGCACAGCAGTGGTTAATCTCTGCCTCTGTTTAGAAGGAACATAATAGGCTCGGGGTCATTGCCACGGACAACTGGATTTAGAAGTCACTTAAGTTTTATCTCTGTCCTAACCCCACAGCTGCCTAAATGCACAGAGTCCAGTAGCCCTACCAGGTAAAGGACAGATGGTGCTGTTAGCGTGGGTTCTCCCAGAGGCAGAACCTGAGATAAGGGTGGCAGAGCAAGGAGTGTGTCTGGGAGGTGATTCCAGGAAGCCCTGGTGGGGGTGGGAGAGACAGGAAAGAGAAGAAAGGCAGAAGAGGCTAGTCTGCTAGGGATGCTGTTTTTAAAGAAAGCCTGTGCGGCTTAGCCAACAGATTTCCTCAGTTCTGGATCTGGAAATCCAAGAGCAAGGTGCTGGCAGAGCTGGCCTCTCCTGCGTCCTCTCTCCTCGGTTTGCAGGCTGTACCTACTCCATGTGTCCTAGGATGGCCTTGCTTCTGTACAAACACACACCTGGTGTTTCTTCCTTATCTTAGAAGGACACCTGTGCTATTGGATTAGGGTCTCACCTTTTCAGCCTTATTGAATCTTAATTACCTCTTCAAAGGCTCCACCAGCTAAGGCCCCTACATAGCAATTTGGGCACACCTGTAATCCCAGCACTCAGGAGGCTGAGACAGGAAGAGCCTTTCAAGTTTGAGACCAGCCTGGGCTACAAAGTGAGCTCACACCCAGCCTGAACTGTATAGCGAGACACTATCTCAAAAAGACAAAAAAA